ATCTGAGGGTATTTAGGGACAGACTTGTAATGATCTCCAACCTGCCAGCTAAATCTAAGCCAAGCTGTAATTTTGTAGCTGCCCCTCATGCTTCTTCTGTAGCTGACTCTCCATCTTTTGAGAGTGATATTTGTTGCTGCTGTTAGTTGCTGTCAAGTCGATTCTGACTCATGGTCACCCCATGTATGCAGAGGAGAACTGTTCCACAAAGTTTTCAAGACTAACCTTTCAGGAGCAGATCACCAGGCCTTTCTTCCAAGGCACTGCTGGATAGGTTCAAACCACCAACCTTTTGACTAGTAGTCAAGTGCTTAACCATCAAGTGCTTACCACCCAGGGACTCCTGTGGTGTTTAGGTAGAAGCACTGTCACTGAATAGAAGTGCCTAACTTTGGAAAGTCACTTAACATTAATTCAATAAGGAACAGAAAAGCATCTCAGCCTCTGCCTGGCCAAAAGAGACACCCAATCGATAGTCCCTATTATGTGGGTTCAATGAACCTCGTGCATAGCCTCTACCAGACTGTCAGTAGAGGCTTGCACGTTGCTATGATAGGTTCAGCAGACCTTCCAGACTAAGACAGTTTAGGAAGAAAGTCCTGGAGACCTACTTCTGAAAATCAGCCAATGAAAATCCTCTAGAGCACAACAGTCCAATCTGCAGCTGATCACGAGGATGGCACAGGACTAGGCAGCATTTTGAGCTATGGCCCATGGGGTTGCCAGGAGTTGGTGACCAACTCAACAGGAGCTAACAACATTATCGTAATTCTTTATGTACCTGCAAAAAATGGGAGACTAGACACTCACCCTAGCTTCCTTTGTAGGGCTCCTGGGTGGAACAAGATGTAGGCAACATGCACACCTCTACTAAGTACTATGCTATTTTTGAAAGTTCACACAAGGCACCTTGCAAAGATAATTAAAAAATAAAACCCACCTCCTATCACAACCCACTTTAACCTCTCCTGTCCCTTCCTGAGCCAGAGCCTCACAGGGCTGGTACACCCACCCCAACCCCACTTTCAGATAAGAGACCTGCAGCCATGGAAGCTACGCACCATCCTGACCTTCCATTTCCACAGTGGGAAAAGATCCCTCCTCTGTATCTCTCAGCAGAGGCCCAGCAGTCACCATAATAGAGATTTTTTTTTTATTGCCCCAAGAAGCCTGAGAAGCAAGGTTCAGGAATCCCCAGAATCACCCCCCAGGTGCCTGCCCTCTTATCCCAGGGAGGCTACCAACTTATGTATTTTCTAGGTGGACACTGCATGACTTCACTTGCTATATCTAAATGCCTACAGAACTCTGAGGGAAAAAAAGCCCAGTGACTGCAGAGGTTCCTGCTCGAAAACCTGCCTAGCCAAGGCATATGTGTAGATGTCCAGGGCTCGCTCCTTCTTCTGCAACACCCTCTCCAACCTCTCCCTGCTCAGAACACACAGAACACTCACCTGATGTTTTATCAAGCCCTGCTTAGTGCTGTGATTTCTGTTTAACAGGGATATAGTACATGTGTCCCTGTCTCAGTCAGACGTCTCTCAAATGTGAGACCCTCTTTGACATTCATTTTCCTCTTAGTTTCTGCGTAGGGTCTCATGCCACCTGCATGCCCCCTACACTCAAAGTACAGCATCAGACCACTCCACGACAGAGCTTTTGGGCAGCCAGCAGTACTGACAGTTCAGGTGAAAAGGGGCTCCCACAGAGCTTCACAGTCACAGGTCCAAGGAGAAGACTGGAGTGCTGTCCATTCAACAAGCACTTAGGTGTGTACCAAATGCTTCCATTTGAGCAAGGGCGGCAAGATGTGGTAAGATGTGGCATTCCTATGCAGCCTGCGTTCTGGTTGGGAGACAAATCTTGTATACAGGGGAAACAATGCATGCTGACACGAATTGGAACTGAATCACCTGTTAGGCAGCTTGTGCTAGTATGGACACAAGATTTCCACAAGAAAAGAAGGCACAGCCTTGGACTGTGTTCACTGTGAAGATTCGGCTAGAACAAATGTGCATACTGCACTCTGGAGAGACTTCCACCCCCTGGGCTAACACATGCCACAAAGAGAGGAAGACTTCATCTGCTCTGAAGAACTGGTACCTGCTAAGGGTGATAAGGATTTACTTTGTTGTAAATTTATAAGTAAATAAAGTTGGCAGAGATTACTAACTCAGTCAGAGCCCTTTACTGTAGAAATTCTAACGCTCCAGAGGCTTTAACTCAGAGTAAAAAAACAACTTTCCCCTCAGAGGACCTTCATCAAGGGAATGGATGGTGGTCAGTAAACATTACTTTGTTACTTCACACTGCTGCTCTAACTTTTCAGATACTTGTGGATATTAGATCAGTGGTCTGACTGCTGTTTCCAGCAAAAGCTACGTTTGTTAATCATAATTGCATGTCCACGAAGGTAAGCATTACATGACACAATTCTCTACACTTCTCTCAGAAGAGGTTTAATTTTAGTGTTGCCTCTTCAACACTGTCCCCATTTTTTTTCCTTTTCCTATGAGCATCTTAAATATGTGTCAGGTAACTATCCAGAACTGAGATTCATGATTGGGCAAGACACAGGAGAGCAGCCACAGGCCAAGAAGGCCTATGCTGGAGCCAACTTGCTCTCACCTGAGCCAGGTCAACCTGACGGAAACTGCAGACTCACGCACTTGCCAAGGCCCACACTAAGTCCTCCAGTCACCTATTCCATCACTTCTGAAAGCCACACTCCTGTCAAATAGCTTTTAAAAACACTCATTGACCACTGATAATGGCAGCTTTTAAAAGAGGCACTTTCACCATACCTTGTCTATTCAAAGAAACAATGTCCAACTTCCATCCCTTACACAAGACTGTAAGCACACCTATCAACAACAGTTGAGTCAATTACCATTCATGGGGGCCGCAAGAATATCAGAGTACAACTTTGCTCCATTGGGTTCTCCAGAATTGATACATGGCAAGATCACAAGGTCTTTCTTCTGAGGCACCTCTAGGTGGACTCAAATCCCTCCAAACTTTTACTAACAGCCAATCACATTAATCACTGCACCACTCAGGCCCTCCACACCTATCACTAAAGCCTCCCCCAAATGAGACATAGAAAATTTCAATACTTAACCATGCCATGTAACCACAGACCATAATGAATGATGTTTTTGCACATGCTAAGATGTACAAAACTAAGGTTTGTTCCCTCACTGACCCCTAGTTAGCCCCTCTCCCTCCTCCCCTTTTTCTACTCCTGAGAACCCTTAGATGAGAGAGAGCCTGACCGGCCATGGATCCCTCTGCGGTAACTGCCCTACCTCATCTACAACATGGTGACCACCTGTCAAAGTACCTCCGGATCTCAAAGCTCTCCTCCACAGCATTAAGGATCAGTCCTAATACATAAGCAGCCTCTCAGAGTCTAGGAAAGCAAGCATGTGGAATTCAAGAAGTCAGACTCTGGCTTGACAAAGATGGAAGGGTCACCAAGACTACATTTCTCATGTTACTTGTTTTATTCTCTAATATTTCAGTCTTGGGATCTGCAGCAGCACCAGTTACTGCAAAGAAGACATTCTGGCAGGTTTTATACAACATGTGCCTACTGTGCCCCCCAAAGTCACAATAAAAACATATACTACATTTGTTAAAGACAATTACCACTAACCAATCTTACTGGGACCTGAAGCCCAATGACAAGAGAATTACTATGAAATGTAAATCAGAGCCTTAGGAAGGTCATAACCCGTCAATTTCTACCACAAGTGTATGACCCATTGTTAATTATTCCAAAACACCAAGCTCAATGCATACTGCTGAGAATAAACAGACAAGCTCACATAAAGGACAAACTAAAGCTACTACGGTGAGAGAAATCTGCGTTACCTGGTCAAGCCCAGGGTGACTTTTTCTTCCATCCCCAGCACATTAAAAACCAAGCTCAATGGCCACTTCCTGGTCACCCAGTAAATGCAGGGGCTCACTCCATAGCTGGGTGCCACTGCATCTTCCCATTGCCCAACCTACTCCTGCCACAGGGCAGGATGACCCCTACTGCCAATAAACTCTTAGGGAAAATATAAGAACACGATGGATCTTCCCCTACACACGCAGGGAGAGAAGAGTTCCCTGTACAAACAGTAACCTTGGAGGTGAAGCACTCAAGGAAGAGATATCTTAGAGTTAACTCTGACCACTGTGATCACAAACGGACCCACCAGGCTGTGACCCCCAGGTGGAGGGGATGGGAGGGGGCTGAAGCAGTGCTGTTGGAGGACTAGGAGAGAAAACCACCACCTCTAACTCACTATCAAAAGCAAGGTTTTCTGACTTGGTTAGAGCCACAGTGGTTACCTTTGCCCAGACAAGCAACAGGAAGGATCCCACCCCATTCCCCCAAGTCGGTTTCCCTCCGCAGTAACCCCAGAAGAGATATGGTAAAGGTAGGTCCAGTGACAGAATGGAGGCGCTCTCCATGAGCCCAGAGCTCTCAGCTGGGGGCAAAGCAGGCCGGGGGCTTCCCTCAGAAGCCAGGCAGGTGCTCCTAGCCAGGACGCGAGGAAAACACGACTTCCCTGGTCACCCAAAAGACCGAGACACGGGAAGCACCGGCTCCCCGAGTCATGGCTGAGACACCAGTTGCTCTACAGCTCTTCTTCCTCCCCTGCCCCCCGCCAGGAGGGTCTCCCAGGGGTCTCGAGCCCTGGGGGGAAGGCGAGCTCTGTCCAGAGCAGCAAGCTGGAGCGCGAGGAGAGGAGACGCTCTGAACTCAACCCCCGTCTCCTGCCTCCGCCCAGGCCGCACGGAAGCCTCGGCCTCACGTACCGGGCGCCGCCGGGCTGCCTGACCTGGCTCCGGCCCCGGGGGACGAGAGGCCGGGATGGCAGCGGTCCTCGGAGGCAGGTGGGTGCCGGGCAGGTGTACTGGGGCCCGGCGGGCGCGGGGCACCGGGGAGGGGGAGGGTCCCGAGTGCACGCGGCCTCCGTCCCAGCCCGCGCGGCGGCACTTACGTTGCTCTGGGCGTCGATGGCCTGCAGCAGCCGGTCCCTGATCTGCTGCGGAGACGCCGGAGCCGCTGTCATTGCCTGGGCGAGGCGGGGGGGAGCGGCCGGGCCGGCGGGCGGGCGGGCTGAGGCGGGGGACGGGGGTCACTCACTCGCCGGCCTCCGGGAGCGGAGCCGCATGTTCCCGCGGCTCCGGGGCGGGAGTGGGCGCGCGGGGTGGCGGAGAGGGGAGCCGAGGCCGTCGCTGGGGCCCGGCTGCCGCCGCCACCGGAGGAGGAGGAGCCGCCGGAGCCGCCGCCTCGAGAACCAAACTCCAGTGAGCTGCCCCCGCGCGGAGCACTCTGGGTAACCCGCGCCGCACGCAGCGTCGGCGCCACGCTGAGAAGGTTGGGAGATGGGGGCGGGTGTAGAAGCCAGGCCTGGGCGGGGTCGCGCGCGCCCCGCCCCACGCCTCTGCGCAAGCGCGCGCACGCGCACTTGGTCGCAGTCCGCACCGCCCGGCAGTCGGGCTGAGGAGCCGTTGGGAGGCGGTTGGGCGGAGCAACGGCCGCCTCCCGCGGCCGCGGCCCCGCCCTCGCCGCGCGCCGGAAGCTTCCGTCGGAAACGCGCCGTTTGTGCGCGCGCGGATATCTTGAACCTTGCATGCGGGGCCGCCGCCTGGGGGCCCGGGCGGGTTAAGAGGCTAATAAGAGTAGGGCGTTGGGGCGTCCCGGGCGGGCGTGGAAGCCGTCCAAGCCCCTCGAGCGGTCTTTCTGGGGCGGTTGGGGACAGACTTTCCTTATTGAGATTTTGTGCGCAGCAGAATCACCTGAAAAGCTTTGAGTCGGGCTGTGTCCCCCGCCGGTCAGTGTGTGGCGTGGGTGTGAGGCGGGGTGTTCACCTGCCATGCGAAAACGGAACTGCCACCGGAGCTCGGGAGGCTCAAACTCCAGCCCGCTTGAGCTGCCCCCAAGGTTGCAAACCTGGGCTTCCCTATCTTAGTACCATTGGCATTTGGGGCCACCCTGTGTTTTCTAAGACGTTTAGCTGCATCCCCCTACTTGTGACAGCCACAAAACCCCAGACATTAACATGTCTCCTGGGGAGCAGCTGAAAGGCCGCCTCCGCCCTGCTTTGCTTTCGGATGCAAAAAACTGAAACCCTCATTCTCTGAACCGAAGGAGGTAACTGAGGCCCAAGGTCACCCAGAGTTCTAGGTCAAACCCAGAACTGCTGGTGTCAAGTCTAAGGGCTCCTTCCTCCCACTCCTTCTTTAATTGGTCCCCTTCCCTGGAAGCTCTGTAAGAAGTGCTGTTATGAGGTGTGGAAAGAAGGATTATCAGCTCCTGCCTCAGAAAAAAATAACTTCTTGTTACAAGAAGACCTAGGTTTAAAACGAGGGCGGCAGCTGATGAGAACCACATGTGCGCCTTAAGTCTGTGCTACACCTGTTAGTCTTGCATTTGTCATGCTTCTGGGAAGCGTTTTCTTTTGCAAAAACTGCTGGTTCTGCACGTGGTTGTGGTTTCTTGCTTGTTCACACGTGAAAAGTTCTACATAACACTTGTAGGAAAAAATTTTTAAAAGGCAGAATACTTCCCTTTAATGTATTCTCTCCCTTCTAGAATGAGGTGCTTTGCAATATATGGTCTAAGTTGGCAGCTAACCCTTTTGGAATTACTCTATCTCACCTCAGGTAAGCAAAACAAACAAGCATATGCCAGTCCTGCCTTTCTGAATTTCCAACTCAGATGTACAATGTCTTTGAAAAACCAAGGATTATAGAGAAGTAAGTGATTTGTCTTGCATACATCAGGATGTTTAATAGGAAATGTGAGAAGCACTCAACGTGTACCTGTTCTTTTAAAACTATGCAGCAGCATTAACATAACTGTGAGCTTCGTGAGGGTACTGATTCATCTCAGTATCCCTAAACCAAAACCAAACTCAGTGCCATCAAGTCAATTTCAACTCCTAGCGACCCCTCCTTGGGTTTCCGAGTATCCCTAGTAGGTAGAGAAGTGCTTATAAGCCCCTGGGTGGTGCCAGTGGTTCTCAGATTTGGCTGCTGGCTGAAAGGTTGACAATTTGAGTCCACCCAGAAGCACCTGGAGCTCTGGTAGCATAGTGCCTAAGGCACTTGCCTGCTAACCAGAAGGCTGGTGGTTCAAACCCACCAGCCACTCCTCGGAAGGAAGGTTGGGCAATCTATTTCTGTAGTGATACTGCCTCGGAAACCCAAGGAGGGGTCACTATGAGTCAGGTCCAACTTGAGGGCACATGACAACAACAGAAGCACCTCAAAAGAAAGGCCTGGCAATCTACTTCAGAAAAGTACTATTGTGTGGAATGAGTGAATGATCGTGGCCTCAAATACATGACAGCTGTATACATATACTCATACATAGGCACACGTTTCAGTTGCACAGATCTGGCCCACACACATACAGGCCCAAACCCATTGTTCTGGAGTTAATTCTGATTCATGGTGACTTTGTGTGTCAGAGTAGAACTGCCCCACAGGGTTTTATTGGCTGCAATCTTTACAAAAGCACATTTCCAGGCCCTTCTATGGTGCCACGGGTGGGTTCAAACTTCCAACCCTCTGGTTACTAGTCCAGCACAAATCATTTGTGCCACCCAAAGACACTGGGTACAGAGAGGCTTCAATAATCATTTATTGAATGAATTAAATATTTTATAAGCTATAATAAATGCTATATATGTATGCAAGTACACACATACACAATGTAAATATATGATTTTATTCATTTAACACTGTCTGTAAGAGGGGACCTGTAATGGTATTGATTAAATAAGACAAGCAGTAAACAGGAGTCCTGAAATCGAGCAGCTCCTCCTGGTCCAGGGTAGACTCTTTCGTTCACCTAGCTGACCTGCTTCGAAGAAGGGACACTTGAAATGGCTGTCAGTACACCAAGGTTGAGTGCAAGGTAACTCCTCTTGCAGTAATGGTTCTTCCCTAATGATGTGTCCCTTAATTATTGGAGAGCTTTAGTCTCATGTCCTAAGACCTTTTGTGCTTGTAACACCCTTGAAAAAGCTGTCTCACCTCTTAGTGACATGGGCCTCAAGCAGGGAGGAAGAGCACGTGGCTGTAAGTAGCTAGAAGGTAGTTTCAGGAACCTATGTGCAGAGTATCCTCAGCCAAGCGTAGCAGTGAAAAACTGGCATCCTTCTCCCTCAACAAACCATTGTGGCTCAAGCAAGAATCTGGACAAGGAAGCAGTGAGCAGGCTGGCTACCAAAACTGTGCAGGACCAGTCTTCAACAGCAACACCATATGGTTGCAAGGAGCAACATCAGGAACATAGTAGCTGGAAATCAGAAGCAGCTGTGCCCTCCTAGACACAGGCCCTGGGAGTACTGGGAACTTTGCAGGAGAGGAAGTTACTGAACTTTGCCTACTAAGACATACAAGAGTTCTGGTGATTAATAGGAAATATAAACATGACAAAACCTACCATCCCACTTTGATCTACACTTGTCCTAATTTTAAGTCTCATGGGAATTTTTAAAAAGTACCTTGTCGTATGTTAACTCATTCAATCATATCAGTTATCTCAGAAGATACCTAGAGATGGGGCTCAGAATTCTGCTTGAGTCTTCAGAAGTCTTGTTTATATGCTTATGCACATAATGCACTTTAGAAAAAACACTGCAAGGGAAGAAAGCAAAATACTGACAGTAGTTATCTATGACAGGTAAAATGACAGGTGACTGTTATTTTCCTCTTACATTTTTCCTATAGTTCCATATTTTCTAAAATGAACATGAATTGCTTCCTATACATCTTGTCAAGTGCTGGGGTCAGTCTTTGACCTCTAGTAGCCTTCACAGTTCTCACTATCTGGATCTAGTACCTTGCTAATCTGATAGCATGCCAGTGATCCCTAAATACAGGTGGATGTGGCTCTGAGTCCTAAAAGTTTGTATTTTCCTTATTGCCCCATTTATATAATTAGTTTGTAGTAATAAACAGCGTAAGAGGGGGTAACATTCACTGAGAACCTACGGTGTGTCAGGTTCCATGCTGAGAACTTTACATGTGGCCCCTAATGAACGCCCCCTCCATGTTCAGGCTCTTGTGTCATCCCCTTCCAACTCTGGACTGGGACTGCAACTCACTTCAGCCGAGAAAACGCAGTGAAAGCAAGGATCTGGCCATTCCAGGTTACAGACTTCAGAAGGCCTGGCTGTCACATGACCTAGCAACCCCACTCCTAGGAATCTACCCAGAAAATGGAAAACATACGTAAACGCAAAGATTTGTACATGAATGTTCATAGTGGCCCTCTTCACAATAGCCAAGTGTCTATCAATGGATGAACGGATACACACAATGGGATCCACTCATACAATGGAATATTTGGCCATAAAAAGGAATGCAGTAGTAATTCACCTACATATGGATGAACCTTGAAAATGTTAGGCTAACTGGATGAAGTAAACACAAAAGGATACATATACGATTCCTTTTACATGAAATGCCCACAATAAGCAAATGCAGTAGAAAGAAGACTGGTGGTTGCTAAGGTGTGGGGGGGAGTGTTCTGATTACCTAGTGCCGCTCTGACAGGAGATACACCACGAATGGGACGGCTTGAACAAACAGTTTATTCTGTTACAGCTTGGGAGGCTAAAAGTCCAAGTTGAAAATGCCAGACTCTAGGGGTTGGGTGAAAGCCCCTCCTCCTTGGGCCTCAGCTCTGCCTCCTGCTCCTGGACCACTGAAGCTACAGGCTTTTCTTCACTGAGGCAGCTACTGGCTGCTGAGGCTGACAAACCCAAGGTAGGTAGATAAATAAAATGGCACAGTCCCGATGTTACCAAACCACAAGGCAGGCCATTAATTCAAGTCCATTGAAAGTCCCAAGGTCAGCAAAGCATGACAGGTTGCTGAACAAGGACACGGCTACATGCAGGGTTCAAGTGTGCCATAAACTACAGAACATTCCCAAAGCTGTTTCTTATATATGGGAAGCAGACCACATCCCTGAAGCAGCTACTCAGCTGCTTGTGGTAGGTCCCACTATGGAGTTGATTGCCAGTCTCATCATGGGGAATAACTACCACCAGCTGCTCAGCCAAGTTGACACACAAACATAACCACCACAGGGCTGGTGGAGAAAATGAGGAGTGACTGCTAATGGATATGGAGTTTCTTTTAGGGTGATGAAAAGATTCTGGAATTAGATTATGGTGATGGTTGTAAAACCTTTTGAATATATTAAAATCCAGTGAATTGTAAGTCAATCACAGGACAAATACTGTATTAGTCCGTTATTGTAAAAAGCCAAGGAAAGGTTTATATATGGAAGGAAATTTTCTTTGTTGGTTACCAGAGGTGGGAGGGGAGGGGAGGGAACACTGTTAGATAAGTAGAGACAAGTATTGATTTCAGTGAAGAGAAGGGCAATATACCAAATGTGAGTGATCAACACAGTAGCACTGAGGAAAAGGAAGACTGAGAGGTGCATGGGAGGTATAAACAACAAAGATGAACCCTTATGCACATACAGTACTGCTTAGTCAGTGAAGGTAAACATGGATATACAAGTGGATAGATGGGTGGACAGGCTGAACTATTAGTATGTCTACACAGGGGAGGAATATGCCCAAGACCATGTACAGGGTTGGCAGACAATGTTTCTACA